AAAAAAAAAAAAAAAAAAAAAGCCAAGTGGCAGCGGTGGCACAGGCCTTTAATTCCAGCACTTGGGAGGCAGAGGCAGATGGTTCTCTGAGTTCGAGGCCAGCCTGGACTACAAAAAGAGTTCCAGGACAGCCAGGGCTACAACAGAGAAACTGTCTTGAAAAACAGACAAAAAAGAAAACAATAACAAAAACCCACGTGGTCGCACACGCCAGCACTTGGGAGGAGGACAAAAGAGTATCAGGACTTTATAGCTGGTTGAGCTACATGAGACCCTGTCTCAAAAAACAAAACCAATCACACAAAAAAGAACTGGAGAGATGGCTCAGCAATTAAACACACTGCCTGCTCTTCCAGAGGACTTATGGTTCAATTCCCAGCACCCGCATGGCAGCTCACAGCCATCTGTAACTCTAGTTCCAGAGGATCCAACACTTGGCCTCCCTAGGCAGCAGGTACACATGTGGTACACAGACACACGTGCAAAAAACAAAAATAAATAAATTTAAAAAAGGAGAAACCCTAAGCTAAGCAGAGGCCTCCCAGGCCCTAGAGTGAAGCACAGCTGGATGCCTTTTGCTACTCTGCTTTCCGGTCCTTGTCATCTCCCCAGGTCCCACTGCTTCCACTGCTTGTGCAGCCTTTACCTGGCGGCCTCTGCTTCTGGTGAAGCCCCTTTCCAGCAGATGGCCCTGGCTACCAGTGGACCCAGCAGTCTACCACACCACCCTGTCCCCTGGCCTCCACTGGCTCCTCATCACATCACATGCCCTGTCTGTCTCACCTACTGGGAAGTAAGCTTCCTTGAATCAGCAGGAACCTGTGTCCTCACTGCCTGAACAGAGCCTGGTATACAGTAGGCACCCACAGACTGAGCAAGGACTAGCCAGGCAGCAATGGCCAGGACTGAGGGAGCTGACTTCTAGTCCAAGAGAAGCCACTACCGTCTGCAAGAGAAATGAAGTGAGCGTGGGAGGCGAAAGGCAGCAGCGGCATTGGCAGTGGCGGCGAGGAGGGCTGCCTGGCCCTGCCCGGTACCTTCTGCGCTCCTGAAAAGGCATGGTAGAAGCTGGACACATATGTCATTATGGCCTTCTCGTCGGGCCGGGCTGTGTTCACGATGTCTGTAAGTGAACAACAAGGGTTAAATGGCCCAAGCAGGGGTGAGGCCACGTGCTAGGACCCACAGGCTCCCAAAGCCACAGCTAAGCAAGGGGAATGCCAGCTGGGCTCAGCTACATCCTAACCTCCCCCCATGGTCTCAGTCAGGAAAGACCAAAGCTGTGGTAACTGCACTGGAATGAGGCCACTTCCTTTCTCTGAGAATGGCCTCAAGGGGCAGCAGGACAGTGAACTCCAAGGGCCACCAGAGGCCAGAGACATGGGTCTTGCCTGGAGGTGGTGCTGTCTGGGAAATGGAGCAAAGCCGGAAAAGGAAAAAACAACATTCCACTCTGGCGGGCTCCAGACCCCAGGCCTTCAGCTGGTCAGGAGAGAGGGGTCAGGGTTGTTCACAGGAAGCCAGGGGCGGGCCTCTTCAGCCACCTTGCCCGCTCTGTGAGTCTAGACAGTCCATGATCCCAAAAAAGCCGACTCTTTAAGCACGGCCCTCTCTCCCTCTTCTGCCATTCTGGATGCATCTGGCCCCCTCTGGCTCATGGTGCACTGCTCTGGCCCCCTCAGGTTCATCCGACCTTTCTCCCTGGCTCAGCCAGTTAAGAGCCCCAAGGTTTTCCCCAGGCTTGATGAGTTGCGCAGCCCAGCCAAAGCCAGGCCCAGACAGACGAGGCCCAGGAAACACAGTGTTGACTGAACATAGGGAGGCACTCACCCTCAGCATCCAACATCTTGGGGATATCAAGGTATTTTTCAGCCACTTCAAAAGCATTGTTCAGGTTGGTGACGGGATCATCCTGGGCAGACAGGTGGGAGAAATGTAGAATTCCATCAGGAGCAGAACACATATCATTTGTAAAAGGCAAAGGGCTGGCCTGAGACAGGAGAGCCCTGAGGAGCAGGGCTGGAAAGTGTCTTCGGAATTCTCATCCCTGTGTGCTCTACACAATTCCTGCCCAAAGCTGGCTGTAGGTGTGGTCCAGGCTTGGGAGACCATGGTGTGTGTGTGTGTGTGTGTGTGTGTGTGTGTGTGTGTGTGTACCAAGTAAGAACATACATGTTTCCCTCTCTACAACACCTCAGTGCCTACCCCAGACTCCACTGCTGCAGGGTTGGCCAGGGCCTGCTCAACAGGCCTGCTCTGCTTCACTCCCCTCACCACTTTGCTGAGGCTAGCCTCAGTAGAACCCCTGTTCCCACCACCCCGAAGCAGGCTAGGTACATGTTCTCCCCCAACACTCCTGATTGAGTTCTCTCAGGCTCCAGGGCCCTTCCCCAACCAGAGCAGCCCAAGAGTACCATCATTCCGCAGCAGCTGTCTGGCCCTGCATTCTGCAATCCCATTGGCCTAGTGTGACACAGGTGGCTGGCTGCTTTAGACATGGTTCCCTGTCTTTCCCAGGAGGCCAGGCCTGCAGCTTTGTGTAAGCAAATAAGAGCAAGACTGCACAGGAAATGGTGGCCCCCTGGAAGGTTTCAAACTCCCTTCTTCCCTCCCCCAAACAGAAGAATGCTTCTAGAATCCAGAAGGTCAAGAAAGAGGGTCAAAGGTCAAGTAAGACAGGTTCTAAAACAGTCCAGCCAGCTGCAGTGCCCATGGAGGGATAGTGCCCGAGGGTGTCTAGGAGGTGAACGTCAGCCACCAAGGTAGTGACCAGGAAAAAGCTAGCATGAGGTTCTCCCAGCTTCCGTAGCTAGGCAGAATCCAGGTCACATACCTTCCTCAGCTTGTCATACTCAATCAGCTCAGGCCTGTGCCGGTGGATGAGGGCATTAAAGGCCAGACCATCCTTCCAGCTGTAAGAGAAGGCAAAGGTTATGAGGCGGCTCCTTGCTGCCTTGGGAGCACCTACAGCAATGACTAAATCCCACACACAGAAGGTTCTGCAGTGTGCGGCAGGCACTGCAGGGACATGGTATGCCAGGGTAGCTTTGAGCACAACCTCAGAAGCCAGACAGACTGAGAAAAAGTACTAATTGAGCACTGGCAGTGTGGCCTTGAGCAAATCGCAGAACCGTGTCCTCAGTTGCTGTGCCTAGAAAGTGGGGATAGCGGCAGCAGCTATCTAAGAGCTGCTGTGAGGATTTGAGGTTTCACAGAGCCTTACATGTGACAAGTCCTGGGTGCCTGCTGACCAATGAGACGGCCGAAGTAGCCTGCACTGCATACAAGGGCTCATTAAAGAGGACAGGCCCGCACCAGGGGACACTATGGGAGCTGGGTAGGATCCTGAACTCTGGCTGATCCAATCATGGAGGCACAGGCAAGGGGCTGGCTACATGCCTGAGTGTTGGATGGACTGAAGTTCTCTGGAGCAAAATGATCCCCACAAAGTCCCAAGCTAGATTAGGCAGGGATTGGTTCCTTCCAGGATGGATTTCTGTATTCCCTGCTCAGAAAGGCTCTCCTGCTTACTCCCCATCTCCTCACTGTTGGAGACAAGCAGCCCCACCATCTGCATCTGGGATGCCTATGGTCCTCAGCTGGGAGGGCAGGTGAGACCTGCCTGCGGGGAGCCACTGCTGTGCCCCCAAGTGTAGGAGCAGCAGGCAAGCTGTAGATACTTACTGTTTATTCAAGAAGTAAAGTTATAGTGAGTCCACTGCAGGCAGCAGAGGAAGCTACACTGGGCAGAGCCACCAAGGGAACTATGTGCTTTCAAGGACAGAGCACAATGAGAAAGGCCCTGACAGCAGCATGGGCCCCAGAGAGGCCGAGGACAAAGCAGGGCCCTGTGGATCCTGTCCCAGAGGCTTAGGTGGCAGAGTCATGCACTGACTGAGTTCAAGCACACCCCAGGTAGACAATAGCCTCCGGCTGCTCTGGCCTCACAGGGCACAAACTCTGTCCACCTCAGTTTATAGTAATTGCACCTATCCTCTGCCTCCTTCACCCCGGTAACAGCAGACCACTGGCTGGGCTGAGTTTTGCTGGCCTTAGTTGATAGAGAGCACATACTCTGAGGTTAAACACAATGGCAATCTATGCACTGGTCCCTTTTGCAATGTACAAATGAAGAAAGAGCCTGACTGTGGTCTCCGAGAGCCACTCTGCTTAAGGAAGAAGTGCTGGCGAGCCTGTAGCTCTTTTAAGAACTTTAGAGTCTCCTCTCTGAACAGACTGTCCATGAGCGCACAGGGGCCTATGGCAGGGCGGGACTTATACTGAGGCTTGCTCTATCACAGACCGAAACGAAAACATGAGGAAGGAAGTACCTGGATCCCAGGACAAGCAGGGTGCTGCCAGGCACCTACCTGATATGAAAGTTCTGGACGTTGACATTTTTGTATGGGGCTGTCTTTCTCTGGCACCAGAGGAGGAGCCCTTCTTTGGCAGAAGTCTCTGCAAAGCACACAATGACAGAAAGGTAAGGTCAAGCTTACGCCCACAGACCAGGGCTCAAGCTGGACAGTCCTTTAGCCTCAGGTATGGGTACAAATGAAACCCCAGGGAAAAGACAGAAGACATCATACAGCAGCAGCAGTGGCAGCTGCTCCCACTCTGGATATGGATGGATCTCTGCCCATCCAACTGCCAGCACACAGAGCTTAGCTCCAAGAAGCCTTGTCACTGGGGCTATCCCAGAAAGTAGCAAGGACAGGACCTGAACCTGTCCCCATCTCTGACTAGCCTGCTCTTAGCCACTAGGCCACATGGTGTGGGAGCCCTGGAGACTAGCCTCAGGCTGTTTACAATAAGCCCCCAGGTGCCATCTTTTCCTTGTGGGTAACTAGGCAGTCCTTATACTGGGAGTCCTACAGGAACATATCTACCCTGGTTACCATGGTGACCTAGCACCCAGGAGCCCCACCACACACTGGCCTCGTAGCCCACAGTGGCTAGTTGGAAGTGGCAACATTCCTGGACGGCCTAAGCGGTCCAAGACACATCCCTCAATAGGTATGTGGAGCAGAAAGAAAGAGAAGCCAGGTCACCAGGCTATACATCCTGGTCTACTTCACAAGGAGAACATGAGGTTGGTTCAAGAACTTGAGGCCACAAAGCACCAGTGTCCTGGTGTAACCTGGGGCCAGGAAGGGCTGTGGGAGAGATAGGCCCCAAGCAAGCATGGAAGCATGGAGACAAAAACAAGAGTTCTTTCTTAATTCCCCAGTCCTGGGAGAGTGAAGATGCCTCTGCCATGGCTTACCTTCCACAGAGATGTCTTGGATGGCGAACCTGAGGATGATGGTCCAGATCATTCCCAGGGTCATCTTTGCATTGCCATCCACAATCTCTGCACAAGGGACAAAGGACAGGGGGAAAGCAGGTTGTTAATGAGAGCCAGGCTCCTTGCCTCACCCCCAGGCCGAGCCTTAGCAGGAGGAAGCACTGAGTATTCTCTAGACACTAGTACTATCCTCGAAGTCCCCAGGCCTCTGTACACATGCTTCCTCGTCACAAAGGCCTCTTCTCCACTGCCAGCTCGTAGGACTGCTCCTCCCAAGACTGTCCCAGGCCTGTGGTCCTCACCTCACACTTGTCATCCACTGCTGTGGCAAGATTCCACCATTATGTGAGTAGCCTGCACTTAGGGCTAAGTAGGTCTTTGCTCAGCCCGCTTGTTACACTAACACCTACTAAGGACCAGCCACATCCTTTCTACCACCACCTCTTGCACAACCAGACAATGCTGCCTCCTAGTGACCCTACAGCCTGCCCGCCTCTGTGCACAGTAGGTATCCCAACTTAAAGCTCATTCACAGCAGACAATATTAGGTAAGCAGTCTACGACTTGAGCGCTAGGGAAGGCAGGGGAATGGAACGTCTGTCCTGCCTTCCCAGGATTCACAGCAGCAGGGTTACCTGCCCACTACAGCATGGGGACAACAGCTCTCCCATCAGAAAAGCTAAGCTAAGCTTCAAGAGGGCTGGGTTCCTTCAGTCAAGGGACGTGCCCCACCCCACAGCTGACACAGGTATAGGCTGGCCAGAGTTCTGGAAGGAAGAGGCATGACACATCCACCAGTGGCCTCTGTGCTTCAAATCACCCTCTCCTAACCCTGAGGAAGAAGCCATGTTCCTCGACTGCCAGACCATTTGAGGGGCCAGGAAACAGGACCAGGGCCAGCATTCTCAAGCATGCTCTGTGAGGCTGCCCTCTACCCTTTTCTAGGCATGCATGTGATGGTCACAGGGATTGGGACAGAATCACTTAGGACTTGAAGAGGGAGGGACGTTTGCAGAGCGGGTCTCTCCTTCCGCCCTTCTGTGTTTACAGACGAGCCTCAGAACGAAACAAATGCAGCTGTGAGAGTGCAGGGCTGGAGCGGAGCCCGGAGCAAAGACCCGTGAGAGGACAGAACATCTCTGGGCCTGACTGAATTGGGGGTTTGGTTTTTTAAACAAACACCAAACTACCTCTACTGTGGCATGCAAGGCTTGGCACTCCTCTTCAGAGGTCCCAGGCTGGGGCAGGGCCTTGGAATTCAGAGGTGCACATTCTGGCCTAGAGTCCTGGCCAAATTCTCAGCCCTGTCATTAATGGCAATTAGTTTTCTTTGTTTTTCTAAAAGCTGGGACAGCATGAATGTCAGGGCAAGAAACTGCACTTTGACTAATGAGCAGAGCTGGGAGCCCAGGCTGCTGGCAGCCGCTGGGCTCCATGGTCCTTGTCTCATCCAAAGGTGCGTGGGAACCCAACTCCAGGGCCCTAAGGAGCTGCTGTTCTAGAGTGGGCTGGCCTAGGTTGGTGGCACAGATTTGGGAGTCCATTCAGGAGAGGGATCTTGGGTGTCCAGGGTCATGTGCTCAGTCTGTACGGCTGGACCAAAGCCTAGGGGCTGACCTTTGACCTTGTATATCCTGTTCCAATACCCTGCTCAGGTTATTAGCTCCCTTCTCTCCTTGTATTTCCTTCTACTCATATGGAGTAGGCAGAGGTGCTCTTAGCAGACAGAAACCAGGTCATGTGTACAGGGTCCAATCGCAAAGATGCCTCCTCACCCCTAGTGCATGCTAGCTTTTGCTCAAGGGTATAGAGCCTGTGGATCCTTCAAGCTATCAACGGCAGTAGCCACTGTTGGTCACTATTGAGAAGGTATTGGGGTTTAAGTGCAAAGCTTTCTGTAGTCAGCACACAGAAGTCCTGCCTGGGAGCCCAGCTGAGTGGGCACCCACCGCCGCTCACCTTCTGCCCCAATAGACACTAGCTTGACTCCCTTGCTGGCGATGAAGTCCAAGGCCTTGTTCACATTGTTGATCTTGTGCACTCGCATCTTGCCCCGCTCTGGCTTAGGCAACCGCTCCCCTGAGAAGAAAGGTGGTGAGAGGACTTTATAGCTACCCAAGCCCCTCCAGCCCTACCACACAGGCTGAAGCTGTCCCGCGGTAGAGCTGCAGGGAAGGGTGACATGCTTCTCCTGGTGGCAAGGGGGCAGCATCAGCGCTCCCTGAGCCTCACCTGAAATGACCTCCAGGAGAAGCATGAGTTTGAGTCCATCCCGGAAGTCCTCATCGATGTTCTCAATCTGAGTTCCAGCCTTCCGTAGGTGGGAGTTGCACCAGGCTGTGAAGGTCTGGAGAAGAGAACAGAGAAGGATGGAAGGTGAACCAGCATCGGGGTCTCCCCCAAGTAGTACTGACCCTGAAGCCACCCTCCATATACATCATGCCGTTAAGACAGCATCTCATGTAGCCCAGGCCGGTCTCAGGCTAGCTATATAGCCAAGGATGGCCTTGGGCTCATAGCCCTTCTGCCTCCACCTCCCAAATACTGAGATTGCAGAAGTCTGGCACCACATACAGCTACATACATTTCCCCGCTGATCTTAAAAATGATCCAGGCAGGCAGTTAAAGAGGACACTGAAGCCTATGGGAAACACGCCAGCCACACAATCACTTGGGGGTTAACTTAAATGTGGACCCCAATGACAAAACTACAGAAAGTAGTTACTTCCTGCTGTACCTGACTGGTTAGCTCTAGATGCTAGAAACAGTTGGACTGAGGCGCATAAGACCTCATTCCCAGGCAGACCCTAGTCCAAGAGGGCATAAGTTCTTTGTTTGTTTGTTTGTTTGTTTGTTTTGAGACAGGGTTTCTCTGTGTAGCTTTGGAGCCTGCCCTGGAACTCACTTTGGAGACCAGGCTGGCCTCAAACCGGTTCTTTTTGTTGTTGTTGTTTACCTGGCACCCTGCTGAGGGAGGACCTCAGCTATGACCTTCCTATTACTGGTCAGCTATGACCAAGACTGCTCCTGGGTGAGCAAGGCATTCTTACAAACCAAGGCTCACTTGTCTTTCTTGGAGCTGAGGTAGCCTAGCAGCCAAGCCCTCCCATTTAAGGCCAGGGCTTTGAGCCCCAATTCTGTCCCACAGTTTGCTGTCTTACAGGTCAACACCCGGCCTCTCTCTATGGCCCATTCTTTCCAATCTTGAGAACTGGATGTGCGTTAGGGGTGGCTGTAAGGTAAGAGGAGGGCGGTCATATCTGAGAACTTTCTGAAGATCAGGTGGAAGGTGAAAGCATGTGTTCTGGAATGGAGGGCTGCAGTCCCAGACCCCACCACAGTGCAAACAATGGCAGAACACCCAAGTGCAGGGCCACTCAGCGCCTGCAAGCTGGAGCGTGTTGTCTGTGCCACAGAAGCAACTCAGATCAGTTAACACCAACAAGCCCAGGCGTCTTCTGGGGAAACTGGCCCTTTCCCTCCCACAGCACAGTCTGGGAAAACCCAAGCCTTTGCTTCTCCTAGGAGCCCCCAGAACAGAAACGGGCAACCCGCCAGGGACATGCAAGAGCACATTCCATGCCTGGGGTGTAAGCAAAGGCCACACGGGGTGCCAAGGGCTTCCATGGAGCCTCTGGCCAAGTATCATGTGTTTTGACAACTGCCGTCAGGCCTGCTCATTCAGAGACTCCACACAAGACGCCTCCCAGACAAAGATGCTGCCTAATTAATATGTCAACCTACAGCAGGGACTCAGCAAACGAGGGAAACCGGAGTGGCAAAACTCAGCCACTCACACTCACCCCTGCTGCCACGCAGAGGTCCTTGTCTGGAGACAGAGACCCCCTTGTGCTTGCATACTGCTATTTCTCAACTAACCATGCCTCCGCCTACTTTGTGGCCTTGCAATGGAACCAACACTTACTCATCACTCAAAATGCAGCCCATGTGGGTGTGGTGGTACATGCTTGTAATTCCAGCACTCAGGAGGCTGAGGCAGGAAGATCATAGTTTGAGGCCAACCTGAGCTACAGAGCAAGAATCTGTCTCAAACAAAACAAATCAAACCAAAAGCAGCCCACAGTACAGCTCCCTCAATGTGCCGCTCAGACAGGCCCTCTGTGCAGTGGGCATCACAGCACCTCTCACAGGCTCTTCTATCACCCACAGCTGCAAGCTCCTCCAGGGGAGGGCCT